ATTTCTAATCTATTAAGTAATTGCTTTTTGCAAAGCTTGGTATTGGGAAGATAGAAAAGGAACTAGATGTTGAAATCTTAGCAAGGTCCCCTTTATCTCCGACATTTTTGTAAAATCCCTCACAGAGTGGGCATGGAATGAGTGTTTCGGGTGGCAGTGGAAGCTTTGAGCAGTTTGTTCTTTACATCCACAGTTAAATCCAAGGAGAGCCATTTGGGATTTTCTGTCGTCATGATGTCTTCTGCGTTTTCAACAGCCTTGGGCGAATCATCAGCGCTTTTGTGGGTATACTCCTCGCTATCAGCCAAATTCATTGGGTCCGTGTTCAACGACACGCTGGGAACTTCGGTATCGCTTAAGATGGGGCTGGTGTCTGGAGTTTGGCGGGACCTTGCAATGCGATAGGTAAGTGACGATCCATAAGTCTTTTGGCTTTTTTGGCGTAATTTGGACTGGTCTTTGACGGCCATGTAGTTCTTTAGGTAACCGTCCCAAGACAAATTTTTCAATCCTGCTATTGAGGATATCATTCCCTTCACTCGATTGGCAAAATCAATTGCATCCTCTCCATCTTTAATGTATTGAGGAGGCAGCCACCAAATATCTGCAACGACCATCCATCTTGTCATCAAATACAAAGCGTGATATGTGAAAGTTTGCTCCTTTGTGTTCCAATACGGATCTACCAGTTTCTTGTTGTACCTATCTGGTAAAATAAGATGTCTCTACTTTATCGCAACTGGACACACGGCAACTCCCAGTTCAAAGGCCCCCTTATGGAAAAGAACGGTATAATCGTTGTTGACACAAGTTCCTTCAGGGAATATGAGAATGGGTGCCGCATTTTTGATGTTCTTGACGTGATTTTGAAGTTTTTTAGTAAGCAATGTTCGATCTTTTTTTTCGTTCCGCTGGAATGAAAGAGATCCTATGATCGATAAAAGGTACTTTTGAACAATTCCGAAAAGGCCGCCATGTGTTTGAGCAACTGTTGCATGTGGAATCTTGTGTGAGGATAGAAGAACAAAATCAATAAACGATGTGTGATTAGATACGAATATGTGTGGGATCTTTCCCAAAAGATCAGGCTTTTCTCCGTGATGTCGAAGCACAGCTGAAGCCGAAAAGGCCCAACTTTTCGATATTATTAAGAAGAAAACCCTGGTCAAGCAAGGATTATTGATCGCCAATACGAAGGGAACGCAAAGGCCAAGGAGAATCGTAGATGAAAACAGAAATCCCAACCTAAAGCTAATAAGCGCTAAAGCAGCACCTCATTGGAAATAATATGCAATATCTTATGAATATCCCACAAATATAACAAAGGGTCAGAATGGCCGTTGGGAGAAGGGTCTTGAAATTCCCACTTAACGTTGAAATGTCCCGAACATCCTTCGGCTCGAAACACAACGAAAATTCATCTTGCGATAAAGACTTGGCAGCCAATCTGGAAAAATTTAACGCATCATCCAGAGCAAAACTAAAATAAAGAACTGAAACATACAAAATAGTATCAGAAGAACAATTGGGTCTACTCTCTGAAATGGTATGTGTATATTTAGACTCTGACGGCAACGCTGGCTCTTTTTGATCGTTCAAGCTAACGAGGGGCGTTAAGTGTTCCCGCTGAAGATGCATATGCAAATGCAATCAAAAAATTTAATTAGAGTGCTGTCAATATGCATTGCATTTATTAACGTATGTATAATTTGTAACAAAAGTACAAATATCTACGGCCATACACACTGGAAAACACCGGGTTTCGTCCGATCCCCGAAGTCAAGCCAGTGCTGGCGGAGTCAGTACTATGATGGGTGACCGCATGGGAATACTCCGTGCTGTAGGTTTTATTTTTCCGTGCTTTTTGTTATTAGGGTTTTATTATGTGGCATTGCGAACCAAATGATTTAGGAAAATAAAATTTTGCATTTTATTGAATACTTCACTGAAGTTTCTTATCTAGCGCTTTGGATGGTTTGATTAATTTGGATATAAAGGCTCTGACCAATTTGTAGCAAATGAACGCTATGAAAAGAAGTTGAAAGACCATGTAAAGAAAGAAGCATTTGGACATGAAGGATTGGGTCAAAGAATACTCGAATTCAATCTTAACAGTTAAAAAGTAACTAAACATACTTTAATTTCATCTCCAAGAAGGTCGTCAAGTACGTTGTTGGAGGTAATTTGAATCACTGGGCTGTCAAAAATCCCCAGATTTGTCCTAAACGTAAGAATGGACGTTTTAAATCCAATTTTGTTATAGTTATGTGCCAACAATCTAAGAGGTTAAAAGCACACATTATACTTTGAAGTTTCCGGAAGCACAATGTCCATTTTAAATGAGGAAGTAATGGCATCCAGGGCGAGTTGGCCCACTTTCAATTCGACATAATGAACACCAGATTTTGTCTTATGAAGTCGATCAGCAATCGGAAGCTTATAGTGGATCTCGAATGAAGAGGCCCAACCTCCAAAAACTGGATATCGAGGTCTACAATTAAAGATTGTCATCCCTTCATGTTCGATGAAATCACTGGTTGAAATAAGACCAACTTCGTCCCTGTAGGTAACATCATATGCATCTGAAGGGAGTATGAATGGCATATCTTTCATAGCACAATGGATGCTCTGAATATTAGTATAGGCATATCGAAGTCTAGTAAAGGGGGATGCAAGGCTGATAACACATGTCAGTAATAAATAATGCTTACCTGGGTCCCAAGTTTTTCAAGTCTATCTTTTCCGTAACAAACAGATCTTTGTATGAAACTTGGATGTTTCGTGAATAGCTACGGAAAGTAAGCAATCATTGGATACTTGAAAAATTGAAGCTTTGGGGATCTATTGACCACCTCAAACGGTTCGAGCTTGTTGGTCATGGCAGGAACATTTGATAGGGGCAAAGTGAACGTGTTTCCCGTTGATACAAAGCTAGGCGGCAAGCTTAAGGGATCACAGTTTGAAAATCTAAAGAAAATATTAAGCCGCCAAATACCTGAGCTTAGTAGTCTCAAAATCGACATCATAAGGCATCAATAAAACTGATGGGATGGCAAATTTATACGTGGGTTTGTCATGATAGTTGGTAATATCAAAAGAAGGAACTCCCGGACTTCCAAGCATAATAGTAGCGATCATCTGATCCACTACAGAAGGACCATCAAGGTCAAAATCGAAATAGAAAGTTTTGTGAGATCTAATATATCAGAAATTGAAACTACCTAGACGCGTCAATTTCGCTTTTCGAGGGCTCAATTGTATTCTCCGAAATCTTCAATGTAAATAATACAAGACTATCAATAAGCCCAGCATCGAGACACAGCCTGAACGAGTGATGACCGGAGGGCAATGGATCAATTTTGATGATGCTATTTACTCGAACGTGATGCGATATATCGATAAAGGTAGTTACAGAGTTTATATGGAATGAAGAGTAGCACGTCTCGATAAAGCAAAGCGACAATAAAGTTGCCAACATCAATATGAACCTGGGATTTAGTCGATTCATAACTGATAATAAAGTGCAAAAATCAGCTTCGGATTGCTTCTAATTTTAAATTGCAATTTTTATCCAAAATGTCTGGGCCTCATTTTAATAACGATGTAATGGATCACTTGGAGCATATTGACTTTGGGCCAATTGTGTATTCCCTCTCTACGGAGAATATTGTGCCATCAAATTTGAGCGGTTCTTCTCAAGATGAACAGAAAAATCGGGTATCCATTTTGCTGGGCAATTTGACGTAGTTCCGTTGTTAGATTTCATTTTACTTTAGTCATGCTCGTTCTGAATTGGAGATCTTACTTGATGCACTGAATTCAAACAAAGAGGGCAAGATGCTGGAATTTCAGAAAATACGTCTTCAAAAGCAGCGGAACTTTGTACTCGCCCACAACTTGGCCTTGTCATATGGTCTTTGTATTAAGGTAACGATTTCCTTTGATGCTGGTTAGCAATTATCCGAAGTAGCCTCCGTATTGGCATCAAAGGCTGTGAAAAACTCCACATCAGCAGCTTTACACAACAAATTGATTGCGACCGCAAAAAGTCTGATCGCAGACGGCTGGTTTTTTACTCCATCAAATATCTCTTTCACTGGCAATGATGCCTTTTTCCTGATAGATTATTCCCATATCAAGTGCGGTTCCGAGCATTCACCCAATCATAAGTATGCTAAGCTTGCAATTGATACGCTGTCAAATGAGGTAGTATTGAAAGAAATACCACCCCTCCATCTTGAAAATCGCCGGCTCAACATTAGCATAACAGACAGCAGCATGGGCTTACAACATTCATTTGAAAGGCAAGTTGATGGTGGGGAAATTCCGCCCACAGACAATCGGGAACTGCCGCCCACAGAAAATGGGAAAATATCGTCAACAGATTTTAATACAAAGCTATTAAGAGCCAGAAGGTATCTTTTAGACGAGGAGATTTACACAAGAGTATTTGATGGCTTTAATTGCTAGATTCTAAATGAAGCTTTAAAGGCCATTCCTGTGGAGATATGCCATTCCGGCTTTTTATTTACACTTTCTGGAAAGAGGCTTTACATCTCTATGGAGAATCGGCAGCCCATTTCTTCGTTTGATGCCCTGCTAACATTGTCCATTCAGCGGTGTGTCCTCCAAGACCACATGAACGCTTTTGAGGGCAAAAGGGGCCAATTGAACATTTTAGACAAACTAATAAAACTGTTGGGGTAGTTAAAGCTTTAATATCAATCTATTCAATCAGCAGCACTTGTCTTGATGGGGATCGGCATTTTGAAGTGAACATCTAAGAAAAGGAAATTCGCCCTTACTTCCATTACGAGTCAAATACCGTACCCAAGGCACAGCTTGGTATCCAGAGTCCTCGATAATCTTCAAATATTTTACCGAAAGACCGGAAACGGCGTAGTATGGTATCTCGAAAATGACGCTAATTGGAGCCTTCTGAGCAATCAAGGTGGTCGATGAAATTTGCGCCCCTGGCAATGATGGTGGCTCTTTGATTGTGGGCATGCTGTACTCCACATTAAACCAATATTCCTTTCCTCCAGGAAATTGCTTTATCTTCCAAATGATGATGTTTTTTTCTGGAGAATATTTGCCATTTCCGTGGTTAGTCTAGCAGTTGACGCGACCGAAATGATACCTTGAATTTGGGGGCAAAAATATCATAAGGCACGGGAATATGAACTTCCACTCCGGTGGCAACATATTTTTTCAAAAAATTGGCCTTAGCCTTCAAAAAGCACTCTGTTCTAGTCTCAGAATGGCAAATCGTGGTACACTCGACCCAGATAAGCGGCATGTTATTTCCGGTCGATGAAAGTATCGGCTGCGTCCCGATTGCTTCATGAGAAGACCCAGGAATAACGGAAAGCCGGTATCTCATCAACTCAAATTCGCCGTCAGGTGGGATAAACGAGATCGTTCGGTCCTGGTCAAACATGTTTAGACGCACACATTGATGAAATTTTATATCCTCTAACTCTATACCGGTAGGACACACAAGCCCACTCCCATTCATTGGCGTCAGGGATATTTTATCATTAAGGCCTAACCAAATGTCATCGATTTTCCTACCTAAGCGCAGCTCTGGCATTCCACTTAAGTCACATTTCATTCTTAAAATTCCGGTGATATCAGAAGAGATGACGTGTCCATTCGAATTAACCTACAATGAAGGGAACATTTTTACCGATAAATTCAAGTTCTCAACCAAGTCTAAAAAGACTTCATTTTTCCTGTATTTAATTCCTTCGGACCGCCAAGAAATATTTGAAGTGATGCTTTCCGGAGGATGCTCTTGGCGTGTAATAAATCTAAATCCTCGCTGTGTAATATATCTACACACAGTCAGAAAAACAAACATTACTCTTTAAGGATGGGAGTTTCTGTAAATTGCGGATACCCCCAATCCACCATTTCATCAAGAAGCTCATAAATGAGTACAAAATTGTCCCGTATAGTTTCCTCCTCAATAACCTTAAAATATCCCTTTAGAACCTAAAATAAGATATTTCAAAAACCTCCAGAAATTTATGAAGGAAAACAAAAATAGAAGCTGCATTGGCATTACAAGTGGTTACCCCAACGACTAATGATCACAATATACCACAAATACCAAAAATATTTCCCATTCTGACATATAGATAGTAAATGCCCTCGTCTGGTGGGCCCGATGAAATAATTGGCGGTGCGCATTGAAGCTTTTCTTCCGTGGTCTTCAAAAGCGCCATGAATTTTTCTATTATATGCTGAGGGAACGGTCCTCTATAGCATCTTGATATCAATGGCTTTCCCTTGTGATCAAGTAAATACAATGCCTGGAGCATAAAAATTCAAATTTAGAAAATTTGGCACAATGGCAACGATTGCATATTGACCAAAATGCCATTTTGGTGTATTAAAATAATAAACGCCAGAAGTTGCAATTTATCAAAAGTTAAAATTTCAAAGTTGGCATGAAATTTATCATTCACCACAATTACACTAGCAGGTTTAATTGGCTCAACAAATGTGTATAAAGACTCCATCATTTGTCAATTTTGAAATTTTAATTATGCAGGATATTCCTTTGACAGAAATAATAGTTGATCCTATTTTGATGAGCAGCAACGAGGCCGCTAAAAGCACATTAGGAACGTTCCATACGGTGCATTTTATGGACAGCTATTCTGGATGTAACGTCTGGCGCCCCAAACATTTGCCTTTAAATTATGCCCAGGCTCTTGCCTGCGTTGGTTTTATTTTCACTTTATTTGTAATTTTTTTCTCTGCCATTGTATTGTATTCAACGGAGGCCTTTTGAGTATCGCACATTAAGGCTATTAGTTCAGGGTTTATTATTGACACGAACTCAGTCCTAGTCCATTCTACATTCAACATGACGTATGGTTCTTCCTTCGGGAGTTATTATATGGACTACAGTACCCCAGCCACTTAATGCATCTCTACCCATGGCTGACAGAAGAGCTTGCGAAACGGCCTCAAATAATTGTTCCTGATCCATGTCAGGAGCCCAGAGTGACTCACAAATGCCGGAAAGCGAAGATGAAGCCGTGCCAGAGGTAACAAAATCGTTTGCAATGCTAATTGAGCCGAGCAGATCGATTGAACAAATAAATGGTGAATTGTTTCCATCAAATGACTCGTCTATTCCAGCAATAATGGGTTCTACGAACCATGGTGAAAATCGTTGGCCATAAAGCATAGTTGATATTCTCGAAGCCAAAGTGGATGGGCGAAGTAGAGATGTAGGAAAAGATCCCTGTGACTCAATAAGGGCAGACTTGGTAAAGGCCTTAATGGCAGTGGAAAGCGTTTGGACGTCGCTGGCTAATCCGGACAGGCCAACACAAAGCTTTGGGCCCGAATCATCATCCAAGGGAAATATTTTTGGGAAATCCATTCCGACAGTCATTGCCTGTATACCAAAACGAAGATCAGAGGCAATGGCAACACAGTTCTTGCCACACATTGCTACAAGAGAACCTCCATTATAAGTGGTTGGATCACTGCCCATTGTGTACAATTAATAAATTCTAAAATTTTCAATGATTTTAATTTTATGGAAGTCGTAATACGGTGCTCCCCTGCGTCTTCCTTGTCCTCATGCAAGCCTACCAATCGAGTTGGAAAGGGCAGAGTAAAATCAGATGAAGAGGACGAGGACGAGGATGATTCGGAACTTTTAATTGAACCAGAATATTCTCACCTTCAGAGGATTCATGCTGGGTCAATATCCAAAAGATCCATACCAATTAGGAAATGCATCAAATTTGACAGTCTTATAAAGCAAAAGACTGCCAATAGTATTTTGATAGAAAATCTTAGCCAAATCGAGAAGAAAGAAGAGGAAATTACCATGTCAATATTGGAAATTTCTCAACACAGCGAGCTATTATCAAATTCTAATATTGTTAAAACGGAATTGCAAAAGGAGCTTCAATCGGAGGATTCCATTTATACCGCCATCTTACGAAAGTATGATGCTGAATATGATTTCTCCAAAGAAATCCCCGCCGAGGCCTCTTCTTTTAGGTCTCTTTCGCTCCTAAGCTCCCAATCTGATTGGGGAAGTGTCAAAACAAAGTTTCTGTTAAGCTCATCTTCTCAATGCATCCCAAAGAATATATTATCCGGTATGGATTTCTATACCTGGCTAAGCAATAACATCTCTATTTATTTTGAAACTCCGAACTTCGTTCTTAAACTTGCCATTTCGGGCTCTATCTTAAAGCTGCCTTTTCTGGAAAAAAGTCTGCTGCTCAATCTCCAACGGTCCCTTATTCATCCTTTCTTATTGTCTTTTTTTAAAAAGGATGTTTATTCAAAATCTTTGGACCTGAGTGACGATTCTTTTTTATTGGAGTTTTATACCCCAATTGCCATATTTAAGACAGCAGATAGCACACATACGCATTCATTTTATCTTGTTAGCAATCCGGAATTCCTTGCTAATTTTACTGTATATTTACAATCACACATTCATATCGTTCATTATATATTAGAACATAACTACATCTCCAAAACTAGTGGGGACAAATTCATGGCTTTTGTTACAGATAAACCCCGAAGCTCGCTGGATATAGCAAAAAATGAGCTTGCTTGCTTCTTAAAGGCTCTTGCTTGCAGGTTGAAGCCCGGTTCATTTATTCCCCTGCAAGAGGTGATTTTAAATTATGAATCTTTGCTATTAAAATGAACAATAAAAATTCTCGAGAGCCGGATTTGAACCAGCGACCTATAGATATCAGCTTTCAACTACAGTCTACCGCTCTACCAACTGAGCTACCCCGAGTCCACTTTGACTGGAAAAGTGTTTTATATTAACAATGAATTTATTTAACCTGAATATTTTATTATTACTTTTCAATGAAAAACCTTCTTATCAATATAAGCCTATTGCAGGCAAAGGTATATGCGATTTATTTCCTCTTCTTTTAATGTAGTTGGGTTGTACACCTATTATTAAGTCTCACTCGAAACTAAAATATGGCCATTCAAGTGCAGAAAAAAAGCTTGAGATATTTCGAGAACTTTCAAATTTTGTGGTTCAAAAGCTCCTACGGAAATGGGTACCACGATAACTTTTTTAATTTGAGCAAGTATTACACTAGAAAACAAGCAGCTTCAGTTATTTCAAAGATGAGCCCCTCTGATAAAGGGTACAGTCGAGTTTATTTTATTGCAGGTTATGTCATGAAAACATTTATGTGAGAGCCATTCAAAAGATGCTTGGCTGGATAGCCGACTTTGAGTTGCCAAAGATTGCTGACGAGGTGAAAAATTACAGCGCGCAGTTAGTAAATCTCCAAGAAATGATATTAAACTTCTGGGAGTTGGAGGTGGAAGAATGCCCGCTTGTTATTGGGGCGCGTCCGATATTAGAAAAGAAACTTTCGTTTACAGCACAAGTCAAGTTGACAGACAGCGAAAACGGGATTTTCTGCAAAAAAAAGCTGCAACGATCTCTAAGCACGCTTTTTGAAGAATTCAAAAAGGAACTGCTTGCAGATACTCAAGTGCTTCACGAAGCAATTACTAGTTGCCAGAAAGCTTCACAGGCGCAATTGTTTAAAGCTAAAATGCCAAATAGCGCGAATGAAAATCAGCACGGTGGTGAACAAAAAGCCCCTTACAGCTTGAAACGCGAAAACGATGACGCCCACGATGGCGAGGACACTCGGCGAAAAAAGATAAACTATTTCGATAACCAGGAAAAACGCGCCGGTTCTGCGGATAAACGCGCCGGTTCTGCGGATAAACGCGCCGGTTTTGCTGATAAACGCGCCGGTTTTGCTGATAAACACCCCATTTATGAAGATAAAACCCCCACTTCTGCAGATAAAACCCCCGCTTCTGCAGATAAACACCCCAGCTGGAAGGCTGCGGAGAGCAGATCAAAAGCCGTGCCCTTTTCAGGAAAGCGAACCCTGTTTGGGGACTAAAAGTAAAATATTTGTATTTAAGCATTTAAATTGTAATATCAGTCAATCAATAATCAGTTTTTGAATCAATGCATTGTCGTCTAGTATTATCTGCTTGAATACAATCCAAGCAGAGTACGTGCCTTTAGAAACAATTGTAATAGTGGCAATTTAGATCAAAATTGAATCATTTGGTGCGAGGCTCAAAATAACCCTTCAACATTGTTTTCGACCTCCATCCACTTCTTCCTGTTGAACTAGACCACTCCACATATATTTCTCTAAACCTTGCGCACATTTCATCGTGTCGACTTTTCCCATCCAAAATATCATGTCCCATAACAATGCGATCGTGTCTTCAAGCCAGCTTCCAGAGCGCGTGAAGGCGGCCATCGGTCTAGGTAAGGTTTCTTTCTAACGGCCAGTAAAATCGGATGGTATCCTAAAGGCAACAGTTAAAAATAGGCGAGATGAGGCCTTCATTGCCACCTATTCGAAATTCAAAATCGTCGGTCATGGCTCTTTTGGGGCCGTATTTCTTGCTCAGCAAAAGATCGATCCTCTGCCTGGCGATTCGATTGTCAATCCAATCGATTCTACATCGCTAGTTGCCATCAAGATGGTCTATCAAGACCGGCGATACAAGGTGAGAAGCTCGATCATTTCCCTCAGAATAGGGAACTTCAAATAATGAAGTCCATCTCACATCCCAATGTCATTGCTTTTGAGCATTATTTTTACAAGGCCGACGACAAGGTTTTGTTTTTCTTTCTTTTTCTAGAACGAACAGGACATTTATTTGTTCCTGGTGCTGGAGTACCTTCCTGAAACGCTTTTCTACTTGTCCCAGACCCTTCAAAAAAACAGGCGCATCATTCCCATCGAGGATTTGAGGGTAAATCGCCCAATGTAACCGCCGCTAGATATATATGTTCCAATTGATTCGCGCACTGGCTTATCTGCACTCCAGAGACATTTGCCATCGCGATATCAAGCCTCAAAATCTACTTGTCGATCTTTCAACCAAAACGCTAAAATTGTGTGATTTTGGGAGGTAAATGCATCGATGTTTCCAATCGTATGTAGCGCAAAGCTTTTAATCAAAGGCGAACCCAATGTTTCATACATCTGTTCGCGATACTACAGAGCCCCCGAACTGTTGTTAGCTTCCACCAACTATTCTTATGCCGTTGGTAAAGCTATCCTACCTTTCATTCATAACGTTTAGACCTGTGGTCCGCGGGATGTGTCATGGCTGAACTGATCCTAAATATTCCGATATTCCCGGGCACCAATGATCTTGACCAAATGCTTCAAATCATCCGAGTTTTGGGTTCCCCCTCGCAAGAGGATCTTGATGCCATGAACTCGTCTCAAATGAGCTTTAAATTCTCCACGGTAGGACCAACCCCGTGGGCAAAGGTACTTTATCTTAATGCTGTTTTCAAATAGATCCTTCCGGCACAATTTTCTGGTGATCCATTATTGGTTGACTTTTTGTCTGCCTTGCTTAGATATTCTCCGCTTAAGCGGATTAGTGCAGTAGATGCGCTATTGCACCCCTTTTTTGAATCAATTCACAAGGAAGACTATCCCCCACTGGAGCACGACAATTTAAACCAGCTAAAATTCAATGCAAACCTCAGGAAGCTCGAGTTACTTGGAGAGACCGGAACGCTTCCCCAGTTTATAGAATCACCCACGCCCACGCAAAGTAGATCGTCCCTTACATCAGGCACCCCATATCCTCCGGTTTCCTGACAACAAAACAACCCTTCTGTAAATAAATAAACCATCAATTAAATAACCACACCTCCATACGTCGCTCCAATAAAATCCACAATGCAAATGTATTCAAAATTAATAACGGTAATTTGAGACAAAAAGACTCTGGCCAGCTCCTTTGGCAAGTCCGTTGGATTGATATTTTCCAAGCGAAGCCTGGGAATTGGCGGTTGCTCGGACAATGAGAGCTTGTTTTGCAGCCTCCACATTGTCTTTGCATCCCTTCCAGGTATTAAGAACGGTGTGTTGAAGCGCACGACCATAGGAAAAGGTCAATGCCCAAGGGTTGTTGAGAGGAACGCAATTGATGGCATTTAAATGCACAGTTGCTTCTTCTTCTGATTGGCCCCCAGAGAGAAAAGTAATGCCGGGAACTGACGGAGGCACCGTGCGACGAAGAACCGTTACCGTTGCTGCGGCAATCTCTTCTGGAGTGTACTTGGTGGGGCAACTAACACCTGGGCACACCATGTTTGGCTTGAGAAGAGTGCCTTCCAAGTACACATGATGCTCAGCAAGCTTCTTGTAAACGACAGAAAGGACCTTCTCAGTGGTTGCGATGGCTTTTTCCAAGTCATGAGAGCCATCCATTAAGATTTCGGGCTCGACAATCGGGACAAGTCCGTTAGCCTGGCAAATGGCAGCATATCTTGCAAGCCCATGGGCATTCTCTTCGATTGCAAGCGCAGATGGCTCCTGGCTGTCGATCTTTAGGACAGCACGCCACTTGGCAAAAGTAGCTCCTTTGGCCACGTATTGTTGGCAACGCTCGGCAAGTCCATCAAGACCAAGAGTAGCACTTTCGTCATTGGTTCCTGGGATGATGGTAAGACCCTTATCAACCTTAATGCCAATATGGATGCCAAGGCCACGAAGAAGATCTGTGAACAAGACGCCATCGGCTGTTTTTTGGTCAAGGGTCTCTTCGAAGAAAATGACACCGCCAATGGTAGCCTTCAAGACATCTGGATTGGTGGTAAATAAAAGCTCGCGGTAAGCACGGCGGTTTTCCTCTACATTGGCTACCGAGATAGAATCAAAGCGTTTTCCAATTGTTCCTGTAGACTCGTCTGCAGCCAAGATACCTTTTCCTGGGGCGCAAATAGCTGCTGCTGCCGCGGAAAGTTTGGAGCGAAGTTCGGGTGTAGTGGCCATGTTAAAATGTTCGGGATATCTCGGGACATATATGTGCAAAGTGCGATCTACACTTTAGTTTTGCAAGCAAGTCCACAAAGTTGAAGGCATCTTGAGTTTTGTGATAATTATGCTATTTGAATCCATAATTTCAATTTTAAATTTAAAATTTTAAAGGATGACATCTCCCAATTCCCAGGCAATGGTATGCTTTCATTTTCCATTCCCTTGCATGTCCTTTTTGCATTCCCTTGCATGTCCTTTTTGCATTCCCTTGCATGTCCTTTTTGCATTCCCTTGCATGTCCTTTTTGCATTCCCTTGCATGCCCTTTTTTATTCCCTTGCATGCCCTTTTTGCATCCAATAGTTTTTACATTTAGAAAGAAAAGTCTATCAAGGAACTGTTTTCATCAAATGACGAGCCAGAAGAAGAAGCCGGAATTTTTTCGTCTCTATCCTATTTCTCTTCAGGATTCTCAAAATTAAGCGGATCTGTAAATACCATAACTCAGAGACTCTCCACTAAACTTACGGAGACCCTTCCGATTGAAAACGTAGTTTCAAAGCTTTCCTGCATTCCAGACCAATTCGTGAACTACGTTGATTCTGGGATCTCTTCACTTCATTCATATTTGAGTTCAAGCGATATCGAACAAGCTGAGCAGTTCCGGTAAGCCCTCTTTTCCATCATCATCATCATCATTTTTGTAGCAAAAAAATGGACTCATTTATGGACCACTTGTGCCAAAATCCACTTCTGCTTTTGGATAACCCTTCAATATTGCTCCCAATGCAATTCCAACAATTTGCCAACGATCATGACTCTTCTTTTGTCCCTATAACCCATCGACATGCCATACTTTCCGAATATCCTAGCCTTTTCGAGGTGCAGAGACGTACCTCAGGTACATTTGTCATTTTAAACTAAGAATCGGATCCAAGCCTGTCGCAAGATATTTTCTGGTCTCGATTTTCGTTTTACTTTTGGGTGTGGAATTCCTCGCCAAATGCTCTGTCCAAATCTTTAGAACGCAGGGATTCTGATGAAGACTCGTTTTTACATCCGAAAAACCTAAATTTTGATGCTGATGACGACCCTTTTGAAGAATGGACCGAATTTTCAGACTCAAATTTGTCGCTCCCCCAATTCTCGTTTCACGATGGCTCCGATGAGGAGTTTAGAAAAGATCCGAGTTTATCTTCAGCTAGCTCTAAGGTCCATACAAGAGCAAATGACGGCTCTCCTTGCGATTCTGAAAATTTGTCTATTTCCTCGAGTACAGAAAAAAGCGGCTTTGCTGACTCTAATGATGAAGAGAATCTGAATGTGCTCTCTGTTGAGGGACGTCAAGACCGTAGTATAAACTCGCCACCTAATGTGGAGATTGATTTAGAAAAGAAGTACCATTCAACAAAAACGGTTGCTAGTTTTCCAGGTCAACTTTCAAGTGAGGACACTTGTGTTGATGCAGACAGTGACCATGGTTCCATTGATGACCAGAAGTATGCTCTTTCTTGCAATGATGAAAATGAGTTTGGAGTCCTTGTTGACGGTGTGCAAACTAATGGGACCCAAGCCACCGACCGGGGTATTTTGCTGCCTTCAGGTGAACATCCAATCTCAGTAGAAGATATTTCATTGGAGTTTTCTAGCGGAAATCGCGGAGCTGAGCTACTTTTGACAAGTGACGGATTTTTGTCGACTTCCGGCGAGTCTTTCACTGGTTTATCCAACGAAGACAACGGTGTTTGCACAGACAACATTAGGCCTGACCACGAGGACGACGGCCAACTGGAAAAGAGCCTTGAAAAGCTGGATCTCCATGCGGAAAGTCCTCTATTGGAAACTTGCGGTGATGACTCGACAGATTATGAAGATACCGATCTTTCGGATGCATCTTCAAATTTCCATGCCAATGACAGCGAAAGTTCATATGATGAGATCCAACAGTAAATAGATTAAAATATTTATCAAATTTATTGGTATGCTATTAGTAGAAAAAGCCAAACGGGTATCCCATTCCCTTCTCCCTGAAGCAGGCGCACGCACTACTATAGGTGATCACAAATAGGATCAGGGCAAGTAAGATGAGCATTGAGTTTTTCTTCTCGGAACCCTTTTTTTGATCGTTAGAGGCGTTCGAGAGTGAAAGTAAGGCAATGCTGCAAACGGAGATAAGGACCGTCAATATGAGGCTTTCAATGCCGTTTTGCATCATTAGCTGGTTCAAAAAGACCTTTATGGTTTTTCCCTCTTGCGAAATGAAATTTGGCCCTCTGATGGCATTCCACATGTGGCCAGAACAGAAGATGATCACCATCGGAACAATAAGCAACTTCCAAAAGTAATCGTGGGATATTAATCTCAACAATGGCGTGTTGAAATAATATATCACAATTGCGACAATGAATACCATGGCAAGTGTTGATATCATCTTCAATAGGCTAAAGCTCGATGGGCTTTCGAACTATTATTTTGATCAGCAGAAATGAACTAACCTGAACGGAAAGCACTTTGGTGATCATCGAGTGCATGGAGTAAATATCTAAATGGCTGAATAGGTGGAATTTAGATCGATTGTCTTACCTGCTCTTAATAACGTTGGGTTGGCTATGAGTCTTTGATGTCTCCTCGAAGAGGATAAAATGGGGCGGTGCCTTGATTCCCATCTATCAAGTGTTATGCCCATTTAATTTACCATGGCGAAAGCTTCCCTTCCACCTTCGGAGAAATCAATATTTACAAAGAATAGCAGCGTGTTGGCATTCTCAGGCTTATCCTTGGATCTTTTCCATTCTTTTGAAAGCAAGCGGAACCCTTCGTTAGCAGCGCTAACAATTAGGAACAAACGTACTCGCATTCAGCACACGGAAAGTCTTTATGGATTATATTAAAAAGAATTGCAACGTGATAATTTCGGGGAGAGTTCATCATTTTTTTAAACTGCACAGACCCGAGAGAGATAACTCCATCACTGGAGGCCTGTGAGAGGCGTTGTAGGCTTTCATATCCAAATTCCTATAAATAGTTGAGCCGTTGAATTAAATTACCAACCTGGCAAGTGCATTTCAGCAGGAAAAGCAAGACCGACGTCACGAACAAAGAGGAACGAAATCCGACAGATATGGATTTGATCATATCAAATTGATTTTAAAATTGACCAATTTGACCAATTTATGTCAATTTATGTCCATTTGACCAATTTATGGAGTTGGTGGGGCGGGGTAACATGCTCGTTGTATGTCCGAGCCAATTCTCATTTTGGTGCTTTTTGGTAAATTTAATCAGACCACCAACAAAAAACATATATTCGATCCGGTCATATAATAGAATACAATGACACACTTATATGTGGTTATGTACCAAAGCCATGTATGCGGCCCATAGAGACCAAATTCTTTTTTTAATGTTTTGTTCGAAACTGCAGCCAAGGCCAAAAAAGCCATCTATAACGTGCTGGAAATCATGTGCTTACTTCTCCAAAATTCCATACTACAATATAAGCGACATATCTTCACTAGAAGGCTTCTCTGGCTCTCTCAAGGTTCGAGGGCGGGTCCATCGAATCCGAGATATTGGTATTATCGTGTCCGTAAACATTGACTGTTATTAGGAAAAACATCATTCATCGTCATTAGGGAAGGCTTCCCTTTGCCTTCTACGCTTCAATTGATCGTCAATAATTCTATCCTCGATTTTAAGCCAGCCTTGCTTACAAGAGAAAGCATTGTAGAAGTTGTGGGCCACATCCATCCTGTAAAAAGCAAAATTACTGGCTGTACAATCCAAAACAAAGGTCCTTTTGATTGGCATATAATCCATAGGTATGGATTTATCAATTTCTCTCGTAAGAACTTTATGTCGACAAACTAGGCTTGGTTTCTTCTGCATCAACGCCAATACCAATTGATGCGGAGAAAACGTCTCTTGAGCATCGACTCGACCACAGAGTGGTAGATTTACGCTTAGACTTTTCCAATTCTTTGATTTTCAGGATACTTTCAGACGTCGAATGGAGTATTGTCTCTTGGCTCCGTTCACAAAGTTTTTGCCAAATCCATACGCCAAAAATTCTACACGGCTCTTCTGAGGGTGGCTCGGCCTTTTTTCCTGTATCGTATGTGATACTTAATTTATTGTTAGCTACTTTGAAAAACCCGCATGTTTAGCACAAAGTCCTCAGCTGTACAAGCAGATGGCAATCTGTGGCGACTTTAAACGGGTTTTTGAAGTCGGTCCGATATTTCGAGCAGAACCTTCAAACACACATCGCCATTTGACCGAATTCACTGGAATCGATGTTGAAATGGAGTTGAACGATGGCTATTCTTCATTTCTTTCCTTTGTGTCTCAGTTTCTGATTTTCATTGCAAGTGAGATTTCCTCTTTGCCTCTCTATGACTCAATTGTGCGAGCATCAACAGTTGAGCCGTTGCAGGTCCCAACAATTCCAATAGTTCCCTTCAAAGAGGCGCGACAGCTCCTCAATGAGGCCAATGCATGCAATTTTGACGGATTTTCGGATTTTTCGTATGCAGATGGGATTTACTTGATAGGTTTGCTGAAGAAAAGCAACTGGGGAAAATCGTACGCCAAAAATACCATACTGACGTTTTCATTTTGGATCAATTTCCCGCCTGCATTCGACCGTTTTATAGTATGCCCTCTGAAGACAATCGCTATTGCAATGCATTTGATGTGCTTATTAGAGGAGAGGAAGTTATCTCCGGCTCCCAGCGTATCCATTGCAGAGATAGCCTTGTCGAACGCGTCAGGGCTTCTGGAATAGGCAAGTGATGGTGATTCTAACTTTCTAGATGCAAATTCATTAGGTGCATATTTGGACGCATTCAAGTGGGGCGTTCCTCCTCATGCTGGATTCGGATTGGGGCTTGAGCGGCTCGTCATGCAAATATTGGGTCTAAACGACATCAGGCGAGCCTCGATGTTTCCAAGGGACCCAAAAAGAATTTTGCCGTGAAATCCAATTAAATTTTTTAATTTTTAATATGGGAACAGGAAAGCAAAGCAAGAAAAGAAAACACGTTGGCATCAAGGACCGTTCCAAAAAGTTCCGATTAAAAAGACGCACCAAAGATATCAACATTTCCATTGATTTCATTTACATTTAGACCAAATACATGAAGATCTTGCAAAACAGATAAAGGCGACTTGCGGAACAGATATGAAAGTCAACGCCGTGAATGAGTCGGTGGATGCCACATCTCTAGAGGAGCTACCTGGATGTGGCGAATTTCTTTGCATCGAGTGCAGGTAAATATTTTCAAATAACTCGCAAAGCCGCTACTTTACTGATGGGCACTCTTTGGACGAACACCGAAGATCGAAAATACACAAGCGAAGGCATGCTATTTCCACTTATTAAGTAGACTAAAGCTGCTGAAAGATGAGCCGTATACGCAACAAGAAGCCGAGGCAGCAGCTGGAATGACGAAATAATTTATTGGCGTATAAAATTTTGCTTTAAATGTTCATATGTGGCGATAGAAATTGTCACGGAGGGGACATTCCATAGACATCGGAGGAAGGCATTTGTTAAAAGTCCACGAAGTCGAAACGAAGAAAAGGATTGAAGAATCAGCTCCGAACTTTTCGACGATAAATGGAAAAACTGCCTCCTTGTCTTTAAAAGATCAAGAGGTGAGGTGATTGCGGATGAAAATAAAGAGGCAAAGAAACTGTTCCTTAGCAATGTGTTGAAAGATGACTCTTCGGATTTAAAACAACGGTGATTTAGCTCTTCAAATGTGCAAAAATAAATGGCGGAGGATGGAAGAAACGAAAGTATGGAATAGAAATATCCGCGGAAAAATCCCTTCCCACCTTGGGTATTGTAAATGTCTCGGACCACTCTAGTAAAAAAAGAACCAAAAACAACACCCTTTCCAGTTTGAGTGTGAAGTCTGCAAATACTGCTTTATGATTTCAGAGGGCGTCCATAGAGTCCCAGAGACAACCGAAAAATAAGTTCAAGCAAAAATACCTCTGCAATTGCAGCCGAGAAAATATGGTGCTTAAATCTGGAAAGCATCGAAGAGTCCTCGGAAGTTTCAAAAGAAGCGAGCAAATATTTGCTGCGCTCATATGTTGCAAGAAAAAGGGAGAGTGCAGGAATGGTGCTTATCGTTGAGAAGACATATCCCCTATATAGTAATGCGGGATGCATACGAGCGTTAATGGTTTTGCCTTTCTGGAAGTTAATTTTAATTGTATCTAACGGATGGCAAGCGGTCCGAGAAGCTATTGCCGCAATAGAAGAAGCTGCCAAATATTGGCCCAACGGAAAGTGTTCCGTAAATGTTTGGGACATCCAAACTTGGAAGTTAATTAAATTTTTAATTAAGAGCCAATTTTTGAGATATGCACTTTAATCAGCTTGTTGCTGGGTAGAACTTTTTGCCCACCAAATCTCAATATGATTTCATTTGGAAAAGATAAACTCTCGCACAGTATTTCGGCCATCAACAACGAAGATGTAAAAAGAAAATCATCAATTTCGCTTAAAACAACAAATTTAAGATCTCTCCTTAAAAACACAACCTCGTTTCTTTTTGGAGATGGATCTATTTCAAGATCCCTCTCAAAAGTCAGCAATTTGACCCAGATTAACAGTGCAAGCCATGCAAAAGATCTCACCCCTCATGATTTTTTGTTATCTCAAGAAATTCCTGATCTTTCTCCGCACACTATTCAGCAATTCCCACCTCACGACAATGAAGTTCCAGTTGAATTTCCGGTTGAATTTCCACGTCTTGGCGGAAATTCATATTTTATCCGCGACCAAGAGACCCTCTCCTCATTAAGCTATGACTACTATGCAAAATACCATTTAAAAGAATCTTTAGCTGTTGACGATTCACTGGAGGTTGGCTATGAAGCAGAAGAGCCTGAATCCTGTGCTGACCCTTCTGTGGCCATTGAGAAATATGCCTCTGTAACCCCTCCAACAGAAATTATCGATGAATATTGGAATTCTCTAATGGTATTTTGGTTCCATCCTATCAATAGAAATCGCGGATTACCTCTTCCTTCCCCGCTTCGACCCTCTCTAATGACGTAAAATGGGCGTTAATTAAGGATAATTTTTTGGTATCTTTGTGGGAAATTACCTTTAGAGTTCAAAAGCAAAAGATTATTTCCAGTCACCGGAGTATTTTTGCGAGACCTTAGAGGTAGAATCGTCTTGTTTGCTGAGTTCAAAATCAAATCTTTCTTTCCTATTAAATTTGAAAGTCTCCATTTCTTCAGAGCCTGTATGGTAGTATCTTTTCTTTTTATCTTTAGCTGGTTGAAAAAGTTTGCAAAGTTAAAGGGACTCGATTATCTGCTCAAACTTTACAACTCTAATTTGTTTCCTACAAAGTCGTCCTCCTCGTCTTCTTCCATTTCGCCAATGTATACTTTATTTTTAACCTTTTAATAATAGCCCTTTTGGCAAGAGGCTGGAGACTGAACACATTATCTTGCTTGTGTTGAGAGCCTTTGTCAATAATATGGTACTTGGCTTGATTTTTCTTTTCTTTTTAGTTTGGCTTGAAAGTAGTGATGGGTAAGCAAAATTGCATCAATCTCATCGCCCTTTCAATGGACAGTGTGAACATTGCCTCTTCATCGCTTGCCCTCGAGCTTTTGGCTGGCTTTGCATGCAACAGCGTTACAAATACCGGTACGGCGGCGGTGATGAGGGCTCTTGACTATGCTCAAAAGATTCGTCAGGCCCCCTGTAGATTTTCTGTGTTTATAAATATCTTCTCATTTAGCCTTCACCAGTATCTGCTATTCAAGTCTAAGGATCTATATTGGCTGCTGGTATTTTGGATTTTGTGATATTTTGTTAGGAGTCTTGTTTGATATTTTTGAATGCCTTATTGTTTCCGGAAAATGATGCCGACGAAATAACCACCACGCTTACCATTCGTCAGCACTTTTTAAACCAGCTCTATCAGTGTGGACTTGAGGAGAAGATTTTAAATCTATTCTGCAAAGAAGAAAGCAGACATGCTTTCCAGCAGCTGGAGCCCTTCAGCTCCATTATTTCTAAGCTTGTAAAGGATGTCCACAAAATTCCGCTCAATTTACATCGCGAAATCGATATTCAGGTCTTTTTGACATCTATTCGGGGCTCGTGCTACGAGAGTACGTTTAATTCTATTATGGGGATGTTTTCGTCCATACGGGACGACAGTAGCGTGAGACTAGCAATATTTTCCATCATTCAATCCTTTTTGGAGCATCTTTTATATAACAAAACCCTCCTTGATCCGTCTTTTACAGAGCTATTTTCGGTTGACTTGTCTTTCATCCAATCTTCCCTTTCGTTCAGTTTGAGCACAAAAGAGGATCCTCCTTTTAAAGATGTGGGTTCAATCGATAATAAAAATAGCGTACCTGTGGAAGTCTCCTCAATTGAGGAAAGCAAGCATCAAATTGATATCAATTCAAGGGAAGATACACCATCTATTCCTTATACGAAGACACATTTAACGAAGAGTCCCGTCGTTGATGAAGGGACCCAGCTCCTTACAGCTCCCCATGAAGACAGCATAAAAGCTTGTGTGGACCCAAATGCAGCGGCTGAAACTGTTTCTTTGGGGCTAGAAAAATTACAAATCTGCCATCCACCTATGCCGCCGCCCCTACCCTATAAAAAGTCTCTTGAGAAATCTACAGCACCGCCACTTCTTTTAAATAGTTCATTGACTTCTCAAGATACTCCTCTTGCTATTGTCTCCTCGGTTTTACCATCCTCTTCCTCTTCCTTTTCTTCTCCTCCTCCTCCACCACCACCTCCACTGCCGAAAAATTTGATGCCCGTTCCCAAAAAATCTTCAACTCAAACCCCATTGCCCCCACCTCTTCCTATTAAAGTAGCAAGAGACTTTCAGACCCCTTCATCACCCCATTCAATTACAACCCCAGCAATTGAGTCAAAATCATCTACAATTGAAATTACAAGCCCTTCAACGCCATACATTGGTGACGTTCAATCTTCAACCTGCTCACCATCAGGTTTGGCCAATGTTATCTCGGTAAAACCTTTGAATTGGGAAAAGTTGCCAAAAGCAAAAATTCACGGCTCCATTTGGGAATCAATTAATCATATCGACGCTTTTCCCAATCAAGATTTATCTCAAGGTGAGCAGAGTAGATGGCTAATCAAGCTGCGTAATCTCTTTAGCAAAAATATGGAATCAACCCAAGGTTAGCTTTTTACGTTAAATTTAGTGTCCCCCTCAATTGGCTCTTCCGGAAGCCCCAGGATTAAGAAAGCCTCTCTTGAGCTACAAAGGGCTCAAAACCTTAGTATGCTCATCACTCTTTTAATCTAGATATTATACTCGCCAAATTTAAAGACCATGCCATTGTTATCGACGCAATTAGAGATATGGATATCCTTTTTTTAAAAGACGAAGATTTGATCAGAGATCTTTCAAAATTTGGCCCTAAATTCCCGGAGGACGTAGAGATAATATTTTTATTTGCCAATTAGCTCGCACTAATCAATTTGTTGAAAAAGGAATCGAATTTGTCGGCGATAGAAAAGTTTTTCGTAAATGTACTTTTGCGCCGCTTTATTGTAGGTTTCCGATCTTGGAACAAACTACCAGTTGAATCTCAGGGTAATGCAATCAATGCTCATGTTTAATGAGCGAAAAAAGCCACTCCAGAATGTTAGTTTATGCCTTAATGATTAGGGCCTTGAAAATATAATTAAGGCCGCTGATCAAATTCAAAATAGCGGGGCTCTCAGGCGTTTATTATCGCATATTCTCCTGGTTGGAAATGCGTTGAATTTGGGAAACCATAGGGGAAATGCATGTGGATTTAAGCTTTGTAGCCTGCAAAGATTATCCGATATGAAATGCAACAATGGCTCCTCGAGCTTGCTTCAGTTTATCATTGAAGATGTTCTATCTTCCGAGCTTGATGATGTGTTGAGTATTTTTTCCGAGTTAGATTCATTGCATTCTGCCTCGAAAGGTTTACATTTTTAGTCTTTCTTTAGTGCCACTTTCCGATCTTTATTGTGAATATGAAAACTTAAAATCAAATATCCAGCTTCTTGATGGGATTGGCTCAAATTCGATGACATTGCAGTTTTTCAAGAAGGCTACTTTAGAAATCGAGAATTTGAAAGTTGTATTGGACACTGCAACGTCGTGCACTGCACAGACATTAAGATATTTTGGTGAAGAACCAGACAGTCTTTCATTTGAAGAACTGTTACAGTTGCTGCTAAATTTCCTGATCTCCCTCAAGGTATTTTTTGTAATCTTACCAAAGTCTATAACTACCGGTATCATGAAAAGGCGGTTTTATAACGAAAGCTCTATTCGAACCTCTGGGCACACTAAGATGCAATCTTCAAAGGAAAATCGGTATGATGCACATGGCGATTTTGATTTGCTTGTAAATGAACTTAAAAGCCGGCTCCTTTATTCAAGCTAAAATGGTCGATTGATCCGTAAAAATTTATAAAACTCGATGAATTTCCATTTACAGCGGCATTATCAAACTCGATGAATTTCCATTTACAGCAGGGTGACCCCAAACTTTAATGTTTTGATTTGTAATAAATTTATAAAGTTTAATGTACGCTAGCTTCGATCTTGTTGGCACTGTCAGGTTTATCCGTTTTTATGGTTTCACCTTCGAGGACCTCCACAACAGGATCAACAGGCTGCATCATGGAGGCCGAGCCAGTTAAATCTTCTAAAAGAGAAGAGACTCTTAAAACCATTTCATGAGCGTCCTCAAGAAGACCAGCTTCTAGACGGGCATTGTCTAAAATCTGAAGGGAAATCTTTGTAGCCAAGGCAGAATTTTTGGTATGCAAAGCAAATAGGTTTCTGATCAATGGATGGTCCGGGTTAATTTCCAAATCAAGCGGGGGAACCGTGGAGAATAGCTCTCCCGATGTGTCACCAGATGATTGAAGGGCCATCATTTGCTTAAAATACTTGAAGGTGGTGGATTGCAAGGCATGATCGACAAAAAGTGCCGGATGGCTGGGGAATCTGTTGGAGGCCTTGATGTTCTGAACCACAGTAGATGGGAACACTTTTTTCAAAAACACAACCAACTCGCTTATTTGAGCATCGGACAATTTGGCCTCGTTTAAAGGATCGCCAGCTTGCGATTCTGGGTCGGTTGAGAGCTTCACATCTTCAATTCGTTTGACAGACTTTCCATCAACCAGACCTTCAAGGGAAGGGATTAGAAATTCATCCAATGGGTCATAAGAGAACAGGACTTCAATTCCGCGACGCTTGAATGGCTCATAGTATGGAGAGGCTAGGGCCGCATTTCTATTTTTAGCTAAGCATATGTAAATGTCCTTTTGATCGCTTGGCATTCTGCTCACATAGGACTTTAAGGATGTCAGAATGCTGCCTTGCGTGTCGTCCTTGGCATTGGAAGCAGAATCTGGGGCGTCACTGCCTTCAGGAGCGGGTGGCTTAGAGGTTTCAAACATCATCAATTGGGATACTTCTTTTTTATCTTCACTCATAACTCCGCCTTTGATGTAGGGCGAAATTTTGCGATAGAAGCGAGAAAAGTCGGATGGGCTTGCACGCTGCTCCTCCAGAAGCCATTTAATGACCCTTGCTGTCAATGTTTTACGTATTTTGGATAATAAAACGGAGTTTTGAAGCAATTCCCTGGAAAGATTCAATGGAATATCCTCAGAGTCAACAACTCCGCGGATAAAGGAGAGCCAAGGGGGCAGCAGATCGGCCGTTTTTCCTTTGATCAGCACTTTTTTACAATAGAGGCTCATTTTAGGGGCTTCTTGCTCGGGAGTTTGATTGTATGGAACGGAAGAGATATCCTTCGGCACAAATAAGATGCATCTCATTTGCACCGGAGCATCTGTGGAATAATGGAGCACGTACTTGTAGGACTCGGAAGAGCTTTCAGGTCCAGATATGTGGTTGAAAAACTCTTTGTATTGATGCTCCGTTATTTCGGCTTTTGGAAGCATCCAAAGGGGCGAAAGCGTGTTGACAGCCACTCCGTTCAGCGAGATTGGAAAAGACAGGAAGTTGGAATACTTCTTGATAAGATCTTGGACAACCTTTTCAGACGCGTACTTTGATTCTTCCTCCTTCAAATGGACAACAATTCTTGTGCCAAAGGTAAATCCGTCCAGATCTTGGTGATCCGGAGAAATTGTATACAACGAATACTCGGGGTCGCCATTTTCGCAGCTCCAAACATTAACCAAGTCCGATGATGAAGCCTTCGCGCTTTTGCTATAAACGTCGATACGTTTTCCAACGGTAAAAGCGGAATAAAATCCAACACCAAATTGACCGATGATCGAATTTTTCACTTCAGTTGACGACGAATTGACCAGCTTTGACGACAAGAATGAAGTCGCCCCAGAAAGAGCAATGGTTCCCAAATTGGAATCAAGCTCATGCAAGTCCATCCCTATGCCCTTATCTTCGAGGATAAATTGATTTTTCTCAGAATCAAGCCTAATCGAGATAGAAAGATCCGTATCCAAAGACATCTTGACAGAATCCGGCTCGGTTAGCCTGAAGTACTTTAGCTTTTCGCATGCATCAGCAGAGTTACTCAAAAGCTCTCTTACAAAAACCTCCTTTTCAGAATATAATGAATCGGCAACTATTTGCAATAGACGCTTAGTCTCTGCTTTGAAGGTACGCTTTTGCGGGCTACTGGAGTCGACACACTCCTCTTTGCCATTCGCTGCGCTCATAGCCCTTTCTGCTGAGTAATTTAGAAATCGGGATCGAAAAGAAGGATTGCGTTGAATCCAGCGAATGCTTGAGAACGAAAAAGCTTTGATGGATGGGAAAAGTATTGATGAAGCTCGCATTTTTGAAAAAGGGGATTAAATGTTGGATTAAATTTTGAATTAAATGTTGGATTAAATTTTGAAATCCTTAATACTTGGGGAATTTTTTATTGCACCACAACGGTGTCGAATCAAATAAAATCAGAATATAATTTTTTTATTTGGTTTGTTTTGTTTCATTTCCCCATTAAACTTAGCATCTAAAAGTACCCGTTTTCTGTTTGAACATCATATGGGAATTTGCCTGTCCATTACCTATTAATTTATTTGATAATGGATACGATTACAACTACCTCTTTACCTTCGAAAGCACAATTTCCTATAGCCGGAAATGCAGATGTACCTTTTTCTTCCTTCCTTGTCGACAACGCATCAGGCTCGCCTTTGGAGACCTCAACTTCATCAACTTCATCAACTTCATCAAACTCTTCAAACATCTCCTCACCGCAATTGGCTAGTACATCTCCTCAACTATCACTTACTTCTCAAAATGCTCTTACCTGTTCTGGGAGCTTTCCTGGAGCGACACCAGGCTCGCCAAATCAAATACAGCTGCATCAATCAATGCCCATGCAGCAATCCCCACAGGTTAGCACACTTACTTCCCAATCTTCTTGTACTGCTGCTATCTCGAAAAAGCCAACCAACGGTTCTTCTGACGATTCCCAAACATATCATGCTCATATTGATGATGAACGGGTAATCGAGTACGATCCCACCGGGAAATATGGAAAGGTATGAATTCGAAAGCATTTATTGTATAGCTAAACGTGATCCTTGGAAAGGGAGCTTATAAAGTTGTGTGGAAAGCTCTAGATTTTAAGGACGGCTATGAGGTTGCCTGGAATTGCTTCCAAACATCCAAGCAAGAATCTACAGAGTTTTCCCAGGAGATTGAAATCTTAAAGCAGGTCCGACATCCCAATATAATTACCTTTCGCGATGCCTGGTATAACAATGGAGAGTTTGTGTTTATCACTGAATTAATTACATCCGGGACACTTCGAGAGTAAGTCTGACTAATTTTACCGCTTTTTTAAAGCTTGCGAATTCAATTTTTATGTTTCAGCTTTCTAAACTTTATCTTTCCGCTTTCTAAATTTTATTTTTACATTCTAGGTATATTCAAAAGCTTAAAAAGCCGTGTTTAAAAATTGTCCGTTCATGGACAAGACAAATTTTAAATGGGCTTTTGTATCTGCACTCACATAGCCCGCCAATCATTCACCGGGACATCAAATGCGACAATATCTTTATTAATGGAGCTCACGGTGAAGTCAAAATAGGCGACATGGGCACTGCCAAGATGAAAGTGGGAAAAAAGTATACCGTCATTGGTACCCCCGAATTTATGGCTCCTGAGATGTATGACGAAAGGGGATATTCCGAAAAAGTCGATGTTTATGCTTTTGGCATGTGTCTTCTGGAAATGGTAACTGCCGAGTATCCGTATTCCGAATGCAAAAATGCCGCACAGATATACAAAAAGGTATCTTCTGGGGTTAAGCCAGAGTGTTTGTCTCGTGTTGCAGATGAAATGATACTTTCATTGATTCAAAAGTGCATTGCAGAAGAATCGGAAAGAATATCTGTTCGCGAGATTCTTGAACATCCCTTTTTTGTTTGCGAGCCTGAACTTGTGCTTTTAGGCGTTGATGAGGCCAGATTTTCGATCACTCTTCAAGTAATTTTAAGGAACCCAGAGTCCACCTCGTTCAGGTTTGAATACAACTTGGAAACCGATACGGTCGAAGAAGTTGTCTCCGAAATGATTGACGAACAAATTATACCTGATCTATACCGGAGCCATCTAATAGCTCTGCTTAATAGGCAAATTCGAAATTTTCATCAGAACTTTCCCTTTGCTATGGAGATTGCGTCGGTTAGAAGAATCAAACAACATAACTCCGACCAGGCCAATATAAATCAGCAGCAGCAGCAGCAGCAACCGCAAGCTCAGATACCACCATCAGAATCAGCTGCCTCGACAAATCCCAATGTTTCTACGGCACCCGCTAACAACGTGTCTGCAATTCCAAATACCCAGCCACCTCTACCTTTTACGAATGCAGACCAAACCGCGATTACACCGCCTACTTTTATCTTTACAGGGGATTCCATTTCTGCTCAGCTTTCATCTTCATCCTCTTTACAGCCCAGTTCTCTTCGTAATTGGAAGAGGGAATCTCAATATAAAGCGGAGCTGACAAGTGCTCAAAAGGAAATGATTTCAGCTGTCGAGAGAGCAGTGATTGCTGAAAAGCGAGCTTCCGAGATCGACAAGCTGATGAAAGCTACAGAGAGTAAGCGAACAGAAACGGACCTTGTCATTGAGAATCTCAGGTTAGAAATCAAGAACTTGAAAGACCAAGTTGATTCATCTTCACCATCCGGAGCACCCCCTTATGCAATGCAGCAAAGACCGCCAACATCAAACGATGACACGAAAAGATATCAGATATCTAATACTGTTCTTGAGCAGTCTTACAGTCCCTCTGGGCTGGCTACCAATGGGGGAGCAGGAGCAGGAGCAGGAGCAGGAGCAGGAGCAGGAGCAGGAGCAGGAGCAGGAGCAGGAG